GTAGAGAAGATAGCAGGAATAAGGCACTCAGCACAAGGCCTGACACACCACAATCAAACATTAGTCCTCATCTTTCTTCTTAGGCACATAAACTATAATTCAAACTTTGTTGAACTACTCAACTGGAAGTATCCGCAACAAATTTTAACATGTGGTGAAAGGGCGGAAATACTTCTGCCCACATGGAAGGGTCAGACAGAGGGAAAAGTGTAAGGCTACACACCATGAGGGGCAAGTGCCACCTCTACCGACAAGCAAAAGCTGGGGACTTCCAGGGTGCAGTTCAGATGTCTCACATCTCATGGCAGATGTTCAGCAAATAGCTTCATTACCAAAATTATTCAGATACCACACATCGCTTCTGAGACTAATTTTTCTCCTCAAGAAATTATAATCCTGTTCCATCTTAACAGTCACCTGTTCCTAGAAGCTGATATGTCTTTCACTCACCTGAATAACTTGGCCATCATCTTCTTTTTCTGACTTTTCACCCTTCACTTTCCAGGCCTTTTCTTTGCCGGGAGGCTGGGAGGGAACAGCCTCAACCCACTCATCTTCAGAGCTCTAAGAATATTTAGCACATAAGAGAAATTCACAAGCCTTCCTATGCTCTTAAGATAGTTCACCGATAAAACGCTTCCACTGGAGTTTCCCTTTTTCTTTCCCCTTCTTTTCATAATATTGACAATCCCCAGCTTTTCTGTCAACTTTCTAACTACTTGAGAACAAGCACCATTCATTACTGCCTATCTGGCTCTTCACTGTGGGTGTTCATCTTCCTTCTCGGCTCCTCTAGGCATGTCACCCATGCTAATGGCTCCACCAACACTGCTACCTAAATCACAGCCCCACCCACTCTCAAGATCTGCATTGCTAACGTTTCCTGGACATCTCCACGTAAATGTCTTCCATACATTTTCATGTCATATCTAGTACATTTTCTTAAATATCTGCTTCGGTTAGTTTCAGTTTACTTACTGATGAACTATCAGTTGACTCGTTTTTTTCATATTTCTGTTTCTTGCTCTTTTTTTTCTTTTCTTTCTTTAATTTTTTTGAATGCTTGTCTTTTTTCTTCTTTTTCTTCACAGAATGTTCCTGTAAGCAATTACATTTTAAACTAAGAAAGAAATTTATTTCAAAATGAACCATTTTAAAGGGGAAAAAAATCCATACTCAAAGATCATGACTAAATACATGAAACCTTCCCAGAAACCTTAAAATGTTCTATAAGATAGAAACTACTGATGATATAGCTCATAAAAATTACAAAAATGTTTATATGTGACACGAAAACATATGACAGATTATTTTTAAGTAAACACACATCTATATACAAATATATAAACATGTGTATATAAACATACACACAAACATAATACATATAATTTATCTATGACCTCCTCAAAGATCTGTGTGAAATCATTAGGTCATAAAATATATACTAAAACAGCATGTATTAAAAGCAGGAGAAAGAGGGAAACAGAAGAGGGAAGGAAAAGCACAGAGCAGCAGGAGAAGAGGGAGGGAAAGATGCCAACCAAAGTATATGGAGCTCAATCAGGCTGAAGGAAAAAACTGCACAGCCTGGTAACCACAGTTAATAGTAACACTTTGGATATTCCAAAATTACAAAACACTGTGATTTTTTTTTTAATGTTCTCACTATAAAAAAAATTAGTGATGTGAAAGACAAGTTACTAAGTTTTTCTAATTTATACTTAAAACAAAATACTATACTGTACTCCATAAATATATACGGTTACTGTCCATTTTTTTAATTTAAAAGAGAAAATGAGGCTTAAATCCCCTTCCTCTAAAGAAAAAAAAAAAGAACCTAACAGGATATAAAGCTTAAAATGTACATTTTTAGGTCCACAAGCTTCCTACAAATGTACTAGAAACTTGAAGCTAAATCTTCCATGAGCCAAAACAAGTAACAAAATCTTTTAATGCCACAACATCCAAAATATTACAATACTTTTGCCAGAGATAAAACTATTCAATAGTGCCAACTATGTAATATTCATTCTGTAACTTATGAAAACAGTAAAAAAAAAAACTGCTCTCTCAATATTAATTTGATTAGTATGGAAAGAGATAGGTATCCTTCCTCCAATAAATTTAGCAATACCTCTGAGAATTGTTCAATTCGCTCATTCACATCAGGTAGCATCCATGTATCCTCACCCCGAAGCCGCTTAAGTTCTTTACGCTTTTCTTCTTTTTCAAAATTGGCTTTGGCCTACAACATGAAAAAACCAATTGGCAAATGATGCAACTGCTTTTCAAAAAAAAAAGAACTAATACCACTTTCATATAGAGGGACCTGCTCATGAGTGAATAAATGGTCTAGTGTAGAAATGACTTTAAAAATATTCTTTGGGCATTGCCAATCTTCAGTACATTAAACCACCTCTATCTAATTCTATCATCGATAGAATTCTGGACCATCCCCTCTTCATCTCAAATATGACTTGGAATCCTTTTTCCTTCCCACTTGCTGCTACTCCCTTAGACTTCCATAACAATCAGGAGTCTGACCCTCATACCTTCAACAAGGAGAGAGACTGACCTTCATAACTTCAACAGGCAATGCCTATACTCCTAACACTTAACTCCAAAAAAAAAAGCCTTAGAAAAAAAATCATCTTTCTAAACGGAAATAATCACATTGCTAATTTCTACTCACTCTTCCACAAGAGTGAAATAAAACCAGTTTTTTCCGGGAAGCTATTTGTGCTCTCTCATTTCTCCTCCCAAACTCCAAGCTGGATTCAGTCCTTCTCAACTCCTATGCATAGATCAACTATAAAATGTATCACAGAGTATAAAGCCTACTTCCTCTAAAAACTGCCAGAAATATCACAGAGACAAGAATGGGGAGCATGTATTACACAAACTATAAACTGAAGGAATGGTATCAACTATTCACCTGTCCAAGAACAACTGCTCCCTTCTGGTCGTAAACACTATTCAGCTTTCTGTCTCCCCTACTTTTTCTCCACTGACTGCTTTTTATACAGAAACATTTAAATTCGTTTAAAACCTACCTGAAAACAAAACAAAAATTTACACTCTACTCTTTGTGGTTCAACAGTTACAACGGTACCCTTTCATTGTCACACTTCTCTTATTTTTCCCCCGATTCTAGGAATCGGAAGCCAGGACCCTCACACATGCTAAGCTACACCCCCAACGCTTTCCCTATCATAGTTCTTACATCTTGAACAGCTAGCTGGTCAGGTAATTCAGTCGTTCACTCCCCTCCTAGTTTTAGGCTACCTCTCTGCATCTCGGCCTTTTTTGGTCAGTCGTGGGGCTTGAACTCAGGCGCTGGGAGCTGTCCCTGAGTTTTTGTGCTCAAGGTTAACACTCTACCACTTTGTGCCACAGCTCTACTTCGGGGTTTGGTTTGTTTGTTTGAGGTGGTTAATGGCAGAGAAGAGCCTCAGGAACTTTCCTGCCCGGGCTGGCTTCCAGCCGCAATCCTCAGATCTCAGCCTCCGGAGCAGCTAGGATGACAGGCGAGAGCCACCAACCAGCGGGCTGCATTTCAGACTTTACAGACTTCTCGGCCTTCGGGGCGGGGCCCCATTTTTACGCTTCAGGTGTCGGGTCTGGGGTTGGGTCTGGGGTTGGGTCCGGGGTCGGGTCCGGGGTCGGGTCCGGGGTCGGGTCCGGGGTCGGGTCCGGTATCAGGTCCGGGGTCGGGTCCGGGTCCGGGGTCGGGTCCGGATCTGGGGTCGGGTCCGGGGTCGGGTCCGGGTCTGGGGTCGGGTCCGGGGTCGGGTCCGGGGTCGGGTATGGTGTCGGGTCCGGGGTCGGGTCCGGGGTCGGGTCAGGGGTCGGGTCCGGGGTCGGGTCCGGGGTCGGGTATGGTGTCGGGTCCGGGGTCGGGTCTGGTATCGGGTCCGGGGTCGGGTCCGGGGTCGGGTATGGTGTCGGGTCCGGGGTCGGGTCCGGGGTCGGGTCCGGGGTCGGGTATGGTGTCGGGTCCGGGGTCGGGTCCGGGGTCGGGTATGGTGTCGGGTCCGGTATCGGGTCCGGGGTCGGGTATGGTGTCGGGTCCGGGGCCGGGTCCGGGGTCGGGTCCGGGTCCGGGGTCGGGTCTGGTATCGGGTCTGGTATCGGGTCCGGGGTCGGGTCCGGGGTCGGGTATGGTGTCGGGTCTGGGGTCGGGTCCGGGTCCGGGTCCGGGGTCGGGTCCGGGGTCGGGTCCGGGGTCGGGTATGGTGTCGGGTCCGGGGTCGGGTATGGTGTCGGGTCCGGGGTCGGGTCCGGGGTCGGGTATGGTGTCGGGTCCGGGGTCGGGTCCGGGGTCGGATCTGGGGTCGGGTCCGGGTCAGGGGTCGGGTCCGGGGTCGGGTCCGGGGTCGGGTATGGTGTCGGGTCTGGGGTCGGGTCCGGGTCAGGGGTCGGGTCCGGGGTCGGGTATGGGGTCGGATCTGGGGTCGGGTGTTGTTCTGGTCAGGGAAGGCTGGGATGCAAACCTCCCGTGAGTCAGGGGTGAACGAACCCCCCCCTCCCATTTAAACGGCCTTTATGTTCCTGAAACGGATGCATCTCACTGCAGACTCACGCCGCGGGGCGAGCGAGGGGGAGCGCGGGGAGCCGGGGCGCAGCAGGCCGCCGTCGGAGGAGACGGGCACCCCACCGCCCCGGGGACCCCTCCACAGAACTCCACGGAACTACAGCAGTTCCAAAAACGCCGAGTACCTGACGCAACACCTCGGCCCTGGCACTCCGGAGCCGCTCCTTACGCTCCTCGATGCTCTGGGAGCTTTCAAATCTCACACCGGGGGCCGCCATCGTTGCTGTCGCCGTAAAGCGAGGGGGCCGTCCGTCAGGCATGCCCGATTTACGACCCCGGTCGTAATATTTAGTAAACAAACCGGGACTTCCGACTCCTGGCGAGGAAGGGGCGTGGCTCTGACGACAGAGCGTGCGCAGCTGTGAGTCTCTCCTCGCGCTTCCGGCGGTCGGCGCAACCCCGAGTCTTCCTTGGGTAGCCGTGCCCCGTGGGTGTGGGGCTGCGCTCGCTCGCGCGTGCGCGCGGCGCCCACCCGCAGGCTGGCACCGGGGTTTCCATGAAGGGGATGGGAAGGAAGGGAAAGGCGAACGCCTGTGACCCTAGCCCCTCCATATCTATGTCTGATAACGTTTACCTGTCCCAAGCCGCGCGCCGGGGGCCCACGCTACTGTAATCCTAGCAACTCGGGAGACCTGAGGCTGAGCTCTGAGGATCGCGGTTCGAAGCCAGCCCGGGCAGGAACGTCCGCGAGGCTCCATCTCCCATGAACCACCAGAAAAGCGGAAGGGGTGCTGTGTGTCTCAAAGTAGCGGAGTGCTAGCCCTGAGCAAAAGAGCTCGGAGGCCGCCCAGGCCCCGAGTTCAAACCCCACAACCGACCGAAAAGCTCGGTCCGGTGTACATGAAATCAGACGAGTTCTACGGGGGACACCCGGGCTCATCCCAGCAACTCAGGCCGGCCTGCCCCCGGACGTGTGCTCGTCCCCACCGTCCACCACCCACTTGCTAACAATGTCCTAGGTAACGTTCCTTTCGCCTTTGTTGTTTCTGTGGCCTCTGTTGGGGTTTTTTGTTTTTTTTTTTTCAGGTCCTGGGGCTTTTTATGGAGGCGAAATTTGAATATTAATGAAGCTCAGCTTTTAATTTTTTTCATGAATGATCTTCATATGATACCCTAAATTAACCTGATGTGGTTTGTATCTGTGGCCTCATCGGTCACCGGCGAGTTCTTTCACAGTACTACGATAGGTTGATTATAGTAAGAACATCCCTTCTCCAGATGCAGCAACCCTGTGAGAATCTCGCTTCTTTGAAGAGCACGCTGATAGGCAAGTCTACTCCTCAGCCCTTCCTGGAAATCATCCATTGAGTCTGGTGCTTTGCAAGCCTGTGTGCAAGAGGAGTTTTTGTCACTCTGAGGAAGGATGCTCTAGTTGTGAGATCATCTCTCTCCAAGAGACAAGAGGACTACCTGCTTTGTGTTCTTACCAGCCTTAATAAACATTCTTGGCATTAAGAGACTGAGCATTCTCTCTGCTTCAGTTAGCCAAAGAGGTGGAGAAAAGGATAGGACAAGCTATTTCTCTTTTCCTTCAAGCTAATTTAGAGCTATCTGAAATATATAGCTGGTAAATACCTAGGTAAAAATTTGCAAGAAACCATATACTTCATACTTCTTCGTCCTCTAAATTCTGTCTTTTAAACTCTAACGTAGGTTACAGCCAAAAAGTAGTGATGCAGGCTCTTGGATATTGTCTGATTTGATTCACTTTATTAGGAAGGCTGCACACTGAACAGCTGGTGCATCTCCAGCTCACCCCAAAAGGCACAGTTGATTGGAAAAGCTGTTGTTGCACCTGCTCACCCAATACCAAAGGCATCTAAAAAAGCATGCAATCAGGAAGGGAGCCTCGGTCTGTGGACGCCGCCCCGTAACAGAGAGCTGACATTTCCTTCCTTCATGTTACTATTGCACCAATAAAGGCTGTCCACGCCAAAAAAAAAAAAAAAAGCATGCCATGAAATACCATCCATATGCTGTTTTTTGTTTTCTGTTGGTCATGGAGCTTGAACTTCGGGCTTAGGCTCTGTCCCGGAGCTTTTGTGCTCATGGCTAGTGCTCTACCACTTCGAGCCATAGCACCACTTCCAGTTTTCTAGAGGTTAACTGGGGATAAGAGTCTTAGGGACTTTCCTGCCCAAGCTGGCTTTGAACCTCAATCCTCAGATGTCATCATCCTGAATAACTAGGATTACATGCTTAAGCCACTGGCACCAGCTTACATTTAATTTTAAACGTAATATTTTTTATGTTTTTTTCTGCAATAGTGGGGTTTGAATTCAGGGCCTCCCACTTGCTAGGTAAAAGCTCTTACCGCACAAAGCATGTTCTCCCCCCCCAACTTTTTTGGAGGGGTTTTAATTTTTGGGGGGAGGGTCTCCCACTTTTGCCTGAGCTAACCTTAGATAAGATCCTCCTAACTCCACCCCCTGAGTAACTAAGATTACAGATGTGGATTAAGATTACAAACATGCCCCATATAATCAGTTTTTTAAGGTTAGAAGTGTCACCAGGATGAATGTTTGCATTGTCTATTGTCTTAGTAGAATTACTTGGAAAATATTCCTTTTCCCTCTGACATTATTAACCTTAAAAGTCTAGCTCCCACCAAATTTAGGCAGCATTTAAACCAAAGTCTAAGCTAGCAATACATTAGAAGTGTTTCATCTTCTAGAAAACGAGGTGACAACTCTTGGACCCAGCATCTGGTGTTCCTAGCAGTAAATACACATTGCAAAATGGCTTTCTTTCACACGCTCACTCCACAGAGCCAATCTGAAGGGTGAGTTCTCGGTTTCAGGTTATGCCTTCCCAGAGGCTGGATTCTAGAATTAGAAGCTGTTCCTGACTCTCAGGAGGTGGGAGGAGAATTAGGGATCTTCATTTCCTCTTTTTTGAATGGTTCTTCCAGCCTGTGGTTGATTCTTGTCCCTACTAAACATTGCCCCTCTGCCTTGGATACTAATACCTTGGCTAATCAAAACCAAGTTGTTTACACTTCCTGATGCTGGTGACTTACCCGTGTGGTTTCTCCATTCATGCAGTACTGACTTGATCTCTTATAGAAACACTGGTGTTCCATGTGGCTTAAAGCCACGTGATGCCCATTGTGGCCATGGTCCGAAACTCCATTGTTGTCAGGTGCTTTTACTGTTCTAAGGTCTAGATTGATTGAGCTCACAGCTGGAAGATTTGCAATCATCTAAGAAAGCAAAGAAGGAAATGGCAAAGTCTGTATTTCTACTTCCTGCATATAAAGTTCATGTATTTAAAGTACTAACCAACTTAATTATCTGTAGTAATGGGAGAGGATAATGGTATGTACCTACACCGCATTGCCCTGAATCACATAGGTTTTGAAGCATAATGATTTTCCCCATATTTATTTTACCAGTTATGCTGTGCTTATAATTTTATTAAACCAAGTCTCCTTTTCCTTGAGCACTGTGCTTTATAAGTATAGAAGGAGTCATTGCAAGGGCCCACTAAGTTGCAGGAGCCAGTCTTGGATTAGAAATTTAGATTAGATGCTTGCCATACAAAAATTGGATGCATGATTAACCATACTTCCAAGACCAGAGAAAATGCCACCCCAACACAGATGACCCTAAATGTCATCATAGTCTTTCTGTAAATTCCTATATCAAGCTGTATCATATACTTTTTGTTGTTGTTGTTTTGAACTCGGGGCCTGGGTGCTATCCCTGAGCTCTTTTGCTCAAGGCTAGCAGCTCTACCACTTTGAGCCACAGCTCTACTTCTGTCTTTTGGTGGTTAATTGGAGATAAGTTTCACTGAGACTTTCCTGCCCCAGTTGGCTTTGAACCATGATCCTTAGATCTTAGCCTCCTGAGTAGCTAGAACTGATTATAGGCATGAGCCATCAGCATCAGATCTTGTTTTTTATTTTTTTTATTTCTTCTATAAAGCTCTCCTTCAACCTTTTGTTTAGAGAATAACAATGTGTTCTAGTGTAAAAAAATTCATTTTTAGCTATTCCAGTTAAATGCTATCTTGCATATTTAGTGCTTTAACTGTGTATGTCTAGGGATGTTTCTTCGTTTATCATGTCTGTTAGTGTTCTACATTCTTCCACATGGATAACTCATGGTTAAGTTTTCTGCTATTATTTGCTTAAATATATTATCTATACTTGTAGTTTATCTCTTTTCCTTAGTCTATCTCTATGCTTCAGAGGTTTTGTTTTTGATACAGTTCCAATAGTCTTCTAAATTCCATTTGTATTTTCTTCATGTCTTCTCAATTTGTCTTTCCTAATTCTTGTGCTTTATCTTCAACCCTTCAATGTTTTTCTTTTCTTAATTACTGTTCAATGGAGGCTTTATTTCAAGTAGCAGGTGAGGAAACTGATTCTGTGAGTGTATACATTCTGATGTACCTTAGTTCTTTCCCCAGCTCACAGTTCCAAAGGTGCATTCTAAGCCTGTGTTTCCTGATAACCAGACTCATGTTTTTTGGCAATATTTAAAACGGAAACAAGACAAAGTCCCTTTTCATCTTTAGAGTATAACGCACGCACATGCACGCGTGCACGCACACCCACACACACACACACACTCAGGGAGCCGGTCAAATTTCATACACCACATTCCTGCCCTCAGATTCTAGCTGAACAAGTCTAGAAATGTGGACCTGAACGCTGCCAGGTCATCACGCAGGTGTTAAGGAACCACATTTTGAGAGATACCACTTTGGGTGATTACACACCATATGGAAACTGTAGGAAAACGCCCAAAGGGCCATTTTACCCAAGTGAAAAAGTAACTCAACATTAAGAATAGAAGGGAAAACATGACTTTGGCCAATGGTGATGGCAGTTCTGCATCCGCGTACACATTCTGTGTGATTGTGGCAGTTGTTTTTTGGGGGTTTTTGTACACAGTAATTGCACAGAGGTGTTTTGTTGGTTATGACCGTATGCATATAAAGAGCTTTGATCCGTTCACCCCTCCTATTACTCTGAAAGCTGTTCTTTAGATCCCACCTGTGGACTTCCACACCAGCTGGCAGGGGGTTGACCAGATGTCTACTCAGTGATCAGTGTACATATGCCTCTTCATGCTCAGAGGGGACAGGTGTGCGCTCTTGATAGTTCTCCTCTGGGAAGCATCAAGGCCATGTGTCACATTTCTCATTTCATATGAGCTTTCAAAGAACTCATTTGGCTGAGAGTTTTCAAATCCATTTTTCTCAACAGAAACTCATGGCTGACATTTTGTTCAGGGCAATGTTCTCAGGCCACCTGGACAAAAATCTCTGCCCAGCATCAAAAAGGACCACCTGCTTTCACAGGAAAAGGTTTAAGGGTTTTAAATAAAATGCGACTGCCCTGAAAACCTGAAGAAGATATTGTTTTAGTGTCACCTATGATAGAAACTGCCATCTGTCACAAGGTTTCTTTTTCACATACGGTCAATTATGTTGACAGTATCCTGGGTTTGCAACATATGAACTTTGTGTTCTCCTCCAAGACTAAGTGGGCCCATTTTATTTCACAATTAAGATGTATAAAGAAGGTTGCTTTGTTACAAGGCACACAAAGCTTTTATTCCATAAAGTAATCACTCACCAGTAGCATTACATAGAAATTAGAACACTATATTGGTCAAGCCTTTGTGTCTGGTTTAAACAGAATTATAATGTAGGGCACATGTTTTGTTTTCTTTTTTTCTTTTTTTTTTGTCGGTTATGGGGCTTGAACTCTGGGCCTGGGCACTGTCCCTCAGCTCTTCAGCCAAGGCCAGCCCTCTAGCACTTGAGCTACAGCGCCACTTCCGGTTTTCTAAGTGTTTATTGGAGATAAGAGTTTCACGAACTTTCCTGAACAGCGATCCTCAGATCTCAGCCTCCTGAGTAGCTAGGATTATAGGCGTGAGCCACCAGCACCCAGCTACATGTTTTGTTTTTCCTACTCGACTATTTTATTTCAAATCGCATTTACATGTGTATATGTGTGTATATGTGTATGTATGCATATATGTATATGTGTGTGTGTGTGTGTGTGTGTGTGTGTGTGTGTGTGTGTGTGTGTGTGCGCACTATGTATGTATGCATTTTTCCCTCCATGATGGGGATTGAACTTGGGGCTTCATATATTCTAGGCAAGCACTCTACCACTAAACCACATCTCCATCTCAAATCCCATATTCTTCTTCCTCTTCCTCTTCCCATTGAAGCCAACGACTACAGTTCTAATAGCAATAATAAAGGGATACGAAATTGTTATTTATAGGGTTTTTAATTTCAAAGCTAAGAACTAGAGTCATTGATAGAGTTAAGGAGAGAAATCTTTAGGTTATATATAAAACTCATTGTTCTGCCTGAGCAGAAAAGTCTGTGAGACATCTCTAATTAAAAAAAGCTGGACATGGAGCTGAAGCTCAAGTTGCAGAATACTAGCCTTCAGCAAAAAAGCTCAGGGAAAGCTCTCAGAT